TTATTTTATTATTACATCTACTCTTGCATTATTGCCTTTTATATTTTTATAGCGGCACATTATGAACGCATATACTTTACAATAATATAAATGTATATACAGGCATTAAGGCACTGTTTACAGACGTTACTTCATTGACTACCACATGGCAAAATGTTGCCGCTGTCACCGACACTTGACTGCCTGAGGGTACAGCCTCTTCTACGTATGTATATAGCAATACATGCATACATTTACTTTTGTGCTTGAGTGCCAGTAAGCATGTATACCGTTGCGCTTGTGTTAGTGCTAAGGCTCGGCCGATAAGGCAACAACCTGTGGGCTGGATTGTTGCGGCTGGTCGGCGCGCCCACAGCAGTCCGCACGGCGTATGAGTGACTTTTTTATGGCATCATGAACATTCAACAATCGTCACTTACGGCACATCACTTTTTGCCGACAAATTCGCCGCATGCGGCGTCGTCGCGCTACTACTGTAAGCCGCCGCGCTAATGCCAAATTATAGGCTTTGCATTTTGTTATTAAATCATTGCAGACTGCCGTTAAAAGCGGAATATGGCATACTTTAGTGGATTCAAAAAAGAACAAATGTATTTGCAATAAAACGAGGAAAGTCGTCGTCAACAATTTGTTATACTGTCACTTTTCAACGCCACATATTAAATCTGTGCATAATTTATTTTTCTTTTGTTTATATATATTTATGTATTTAATTCTTATATGTATTTTCTCTGATTTGTTTTTTAACAAGATTTTCTTAGCTTTCGCGTCAATTGTGATTTATTTTGTTTGTAGACGCCACGGCTATTTTCGTCGCAAGTACGTTTACTCTCTATTTCTTTGTGACATAAATACATATGTTTAAATTTAATCACTGTGGCGCTAACTTTTTCGCTTTTTGGTGGTGGTGGTTTTGTCTGCCTGGCGCCGTATGGCGCATTGAGGACACCCGCCTGATACCGACAAAAATGTGTTTTAGATTAATCTACATTATATGCTTATACCGGTGTCTGATGCTGTTCTTAACCCCCTGGTGGCAACAAATTAATTATTATTACTGGCGTCTGTGAGCTGGGCATACACGCTCGTACATACATATGTGTGTAATAGTGCGAGTGTGAACTCAATATGCTGAAACAAATGTGGACTTACAACATTTTACTAATGATGATTATTTATGATTTTGTGGAACAAAAATCTGCCCATTCCTTTATTCTTTACACAATTATAAAACACAGTGGAACTAATTTGCTTAAATGTTATAGCTAAGGCTATGTGCTTGCATAAATTTACATATATTTCGAAATTTTGCTAAAAAATGTCAAAAGCCAAAATTTGATAATTAGGCTGGTATTAAATGAAAATACGAATAGAATAGAAAGAGGTCACTCCACCACAAAAGTTATCTTCATACACTCGTCTATTGTACACAATTGAATTGAAAATAGAAGAGACAAAAGATAAGGAACTTTCCAAGGCTGAAAGTTAGGCTTGGAACATTTTTATACTTGAAACAGGTTATAATAAGTTTGCCACCTCAGTCTGTTAGACTGCATATATGCTCAAGAAGGTGCCCTTTTTTCGAAATCGTTCATATCAGACCACTATAGTATATAGTCTTGTATGGGAAACTGTTTTATTTCACAAGAATATTTTTTGAAGAAATTCACATAGATTTTTTTCTTTGTTAAGGATACCTAGTGCGACTTGTTAATAAATAAATAAATAAATATTATATTAGCTTTGATGCCTACGAAGTTAACATTTTTTTGTTTAATTAAACATTGACATAAACATAACCTAACATAGTACTGCTATGCTATTCCATATTTTTGCTAGCGTCTTCTGTTACAATAATTACAGGTTAGAGAATTCATTACACTGTGAATTGTCAAGCTGTCAAAGTTGATTTACATACAAAGCTATGCAAACCCGTACATACTTCTGGCATATGTGTTTGATTATATACTGTTATTTGCATGCTATGATATGTGTGCTGAGTATTAACAACTTTTAATCATAACAATGAACCCGAAACTTCACTGAATCGTTTTTGGCGCAAAGCAACGTAAATAAAACGCACAAACACAACAACAACAAGTGAATGGGCCTTGCTAGGTCTTGTCCCTTGGGACACCCTTGCGACGGCGGCAGACACCGTACGCCGCTCGGCCAATAATGCGCAACAGGCGATTGCCTAATTTGCGAAACTGGTTTGAGTTTTTCGCAGCTGTTTGCCCATGATTTATCGTCGACATATGTTTGCTTTTGTTGGCACGCGCTACGTGCCGCCGCGCGCTGAACGTGGCTTTAAAGCACAAGCACCCTAATCTATTGCGGCTTTCAATTCACAGTTCCATTTAACGTGCATTTAACACACGTTTTTGCGGTCAGTAAAAATCGCTTTGAGGGTGGTGGGGGCGGTGGCGAATCAGTTACTAATCAGTTGTGTACCACTTATACCCATACAGACATATTATATGCATAGGCTGCTAGCCAGCCATCAAATGTATATACACACACGTACTATCATACGCGAAGCGGTATTAATAGATACATTTTAGGCGTACAAACATATGCACACTCATCCATACATACATATATACAAAATTATTATTTATTTTTTCACTTTGCTATTTTTTTTGTTTTATTTTTTTTTTTGCACCTAATACACATTTCACTCAATTTCATATGTTTGTAGACATGTTTATACGAGCATAAAAATGTAAGTGTGCCGTTCAATTCGCCACCGAACATAGTCGTACTTCGCTCTATGTGGCTGTTATCCTTCGTGTTGGCTTATGAATTTGCAACCATATTCAAGCAATATGCATACACAAGCCTCTGCTTTAGGTTTTTACGTGCACTCACTTAGTTTTGATAATGCGTTTTACTTTGTTTTCATGTTTCACTATTTTTGATTTTAAGAATTCATACAACTTTCCATAGATTATTATTTTAGAAATATTTACAAGTATATTTAGTGTGTTTTTATTGCTATTGGCTTTTGTTGCGTTCGTGAAGCCAAGTAGAATCGTTCAACCATTTCGCTCGATTACCCGCAAACGACTGATTCCACGGCAGCGCATCTCGATTTGGCTCAAAAGCATACAGCCATCGCTGCTGCCGTTTAATGCTCGTGCTATTGTTGCTTTTGCTGTGGCTGTCGCTGTCGCTGTTCTGAGTTGGCCACGCACTTGGCCATGACATACACACACATGTACATATGTAGGTAAGTACATACGAGTATATGCAAGCTTTATAAACGATAATAGTGGGGTTGGTCGTTGCGCGCCAGATGATTACACTTGTTTTTAGTGTTTGTGTGTGCGTGTGTATTTAGAGCGCCCATATGCTATCTATGCAAATATTTAAATAATTATCAATGTATGTATGTATATATGGAATTTGTGGGGTCGGGGGTCGAAGTTATCGTTATAACAATATATAGACAGGTAAGTAATGTCATCATCAAAGTTTTTTATTATAACTCTTTAATTGGAATTTTTTAGTTTTCAGTTCTAACACTTGCGTTGAAAATGTAGACTACCACAAAAACACGGTGGCCTAATTCGATGTCATTTCTCAAAATTTTTTCAATGGGATTTGTATTTTACCATGTATCTTACTACCGTTTATTATAACCTATCTTACTATATATTAATTGAATCCTAAGACTCCTTCTGTAGACTACGATCGTATTTACAACATGTTTAGGACTGTTTTCAATAGTTTTATGCAGCAACCATTTATCATTACTGTTTTACGAAACCTGTTTAGGTCAAATACAAATTATTTGATTAAAATTTAAATTATACATCATTATCTAATTTTATGACCTTTTGTGAACATCAAAAAGTAGCTATAATTTGTGTACTTTTATTTATTTTGCATCCAAATATTAAATCATTTTAAAACTTCAAGTCTTACCAGAACTCGCTCCGTAATTACTCAATATGCTTCATATGCCGGTATTTGCCAGCATTTTATAGTTTGGATATTTTGTGGGAGTTTGTCACTTGTGTTACTTACATGTTTTTTAAGATTTGTTTACATATTTGACGTTTCGTTTTATTCATTGTTTCTTGTTTCTTCTATCGTGTGTAATTTTTATAATTTGCGTGTCCTCTCCTATTTTATAATTTAACTAAATTTCCTGTTTTATTTAATTGACAAATTTTTGCAACTCACGTGGAATACTGCAGAAATGATAATGTGCCTAGTCCATTTGTTTTTGTTGATTGACATTGGCTGTTTTGTGCTACACGCCGTTGCTAAAACAGAGCAAGTTGCGTCGGATTCTGTAGAGCTGTTATTGGAGCCAGAATGTTCACAACTAAAACGACAAGATATCGAGTCTCATCTATCTACGAAAACTCCTTATCGCGTTGTGGCAAATTTGGACGATAAACCCATCGCGTATAAAGGTACGATAAACACAATATGGAACTTAAAGCTACTATAATAGAATTAATATTTAATGTCATAATCTTAAATAGAATGTCGACCAACTCGCATTTGGTCAGTGATAAGACATGGTACGCGCAATCCCAGCAAAGAGCATATTGAAGGAGCAAAATCAAAGCTAGGTCGATTGAAGGAGGAGATTGTAACGAACCCTCAAACTAAGTTATGCCCTGAAGAATTGACTCGATTACGTCGTTGGCGTTTTGATGTTAATAGCGAAGAAGAGAAATATCTTACGACTGAAGGAGAGCAAGAGTTGGAGGAATTGGCAGAACGAATGCAAAAACGTTTTCCAAACCTTTTAGCTGACGAGTATGATCCTAACCTATATTATTTTAAATATACGAAGACGCAGCGCACACTAAAGAGTGCAGAGAGTTTTACCTCTGGTCTTTTTGGAAGAGAAAACATTGCACCGATAGAATACCCAGAGGCTGTACATAAGGACCCAGTTTTGAGGGTGAGTGTATATATTTTCCTAAAATCTAATTTTGTGGAATGTGATATTTTTTATATTGGAAAGTCTGAAATCCTATACCACATTTATGTTATAATAGTAGTATTTGAATATTTCTTTGAGTAGTGTTAGGGTTAAAATTTGTATGCTGTGATAAACAATGGCAACTCTATCGACTGAACTCAAATGTTATTGACGAAAGTGGCAAGCAAACACAAAAGACGCGAACTGCCAACTAAAGCAGAATAACCAATAAAACTTAATACAAACGTCAAATGCGGTAAGGAATTAAAAGAATGCTGCGTATTTTTCAGTCTAACGTGGTTTTCAATTAAAAGTAAAAAAGTTGGGGTAATTAAAAGTTAGAAACGCATTAAAGTCGTTAAGTGCATACAAAATGCGCAAAAGTGATGTGTTATAAAACGAACCCAGCAAAAATTGTGATTTGTTATTAGTCTCCATCGACAAATTGTATTGCTCTGTGTATTGAACAGTTACGGGATATCGGGCTTAGGTGGGTCTGATATATCCAAAAAGCGGCTTCAAAGTGTTGAGCATTATATTCCCATCGACAAACACTTTTGGACGCAGCTATATTTTTACATAGTGCAGAAGTTTTATAAGCAACTCAAATTTGGAAGTTCAGCCTGCTAATTAGGAAAAGTCGGCCTAAAGTCGGTCAGGGTCATCTATAATCGACCTTTTGACAGACTGTTATTGATATTTGCAGTATATCAAAAGGAGTAAGCTGTTCCCGAATTTTTTTATATAAATGGATAGTGTTCGCAACTATGGACGTCTTTCTACCTCAATGGTTAGCAGCAGGAAAACGTCGATGTCTGATAATCCACAAATGTTACCGATTCTGCAACAGTTGACAAATGGCTCTTTTGGTATTATAGTGCCTGACAAACATTGTCCACTCTGTTTTCAAGCTAAACGGCATCAAGAGAGAATAGAGGGCATTAAATGCAAAGCGGTGGCATGGCGCATACGAGAACGTATGAAAACCGCTAGTGTGGTGTTGGTGCTCTGCCTTAACATAGGCGTTGATCCACCGGACGTTGTTAAAATACAGCCATGTGCACGCTTGGAGTGTTGGGTTGACCCGTCTTCTGTATCGGCACCAAAAGCTATGGAACTGATAGGTAATAATCTCCAAATGCAATATGAACGATGGCAGCCTCGTGCGCGTTATAAGAAATGTCATGATCCAACATCAGAAGATGTGAAAAAGTTGTGCACTTCATTGCGCCGCAATGCGAAAGGTGAGCGCATACTATTCCATTACAATGGACATGGCGTGCCAAAGCCCACGGCAAATGGAGAAATTTGGGTTTTCAATAAGACGTTCACACAATACATACCTTTAAGTATATTTGAGTTGCAAAGCTGGATGGGTGCACCATCAATTTACGTATATGATTGCTCAAACGCCGGCATTATAATAAATTCGTTCCAGCAGTTTGCAGAACAACATGAAAGAGACTTAGAGAGATCTAGTCAACGCATTGGATCTGGGCAGGCTGCTTCTCTGCTAACGCCATTTGTAAGCTATAAAAACTGCATACATTTAGCCGCCTGTTCGGTCAATGAGATATTGCCGATGAATGCCAACCTTCCTGCAGATCTCTTTACTTCCTGCCTAACGACACCCATCAATATCGCATTAAAATGGTATACAATGCAGGAGAAATTCGAATTAGTACCCTTAATTCAAAGTGAGCAAGTCGATAAAATACCTGGAAAAGTAAATGATCGACGGACAATGATGGGCGAGTTGAATTGGATATTCACCGCAATAACCGACACCATTGCATGGAACACTTTACCGCGCGAACTATTCCAGCGTTTATTTCGTCAAGATTTGCTGGTTGCCAGTCTATTTCGCAACTTTTTGCTTGCTGAAAGAATTTTACGTTCCCATGATTGCACACCTGTTTCGCATCCAACATTACCTCCCTGCTTTCGGCATCACATGTGGTCTGCTTGGGATTTAGTTGTCGATTACGCTTTACAGCAATTGCCTGAAATACTGGAGAAAGGTGCACCATATCGTCAATTACCATTTTTCGAACAACAACTAACGGCTTTCCAAGTTTGGCTCGATCGTGAATCCGAATCAAGATCTCCACCAGAGCAGTTACCCATAGTTTTACAAGTTCTGCTGTCACAAGTGCACCGACTACGTGCACTAGAACTACTAGCGCGCTTCCTCGATCTGGGTCCTTGGGCGGTGAATTTAGCTCTGGGTGTGGGTATCTTCCCTTACGTACTTAAACTACTACAAAGTTCCGCGAAAGAGTTGCGTCCAGTGCTGGTATTTATATGGGCCAAAATACTTGCAGTCGACCCAAATTGTCAGGTGGATTTAGTCAAGGAGCATAAATACTTTCTATCAGTACTACAAGATACATCTGTCTCCAAGGAACATCGCACGCTCTCCGCATTTGTGTTGGCTTGCATAGTAAATGACTTCCTGCTGGGTAAAACGAGTGCTTTGCAGGGTTCATTGGTGTCGATTTGTTTGGAGCAACTGAATGACGAAAGCTGGTTACTACGTCAATGGCTTGCCATATGCTTAGGTACGACAATGAAATGTATTTAGTTTTGTTAATGATTTGCTTCTATTTTGATGACTCGGAGCTCCCTTCTGATGCATAAAACGTTATGTCACATGATGTTTAACCAAGCTCATCAAAAGCTGTTGCAAATAAAATATACATATACTTTCCAATTTCCTAACCCATTTTTTACTACTACACTCAGGAATGCTTTGGCAGAATTTCGAGAAAGCCCGATGGTCTGGTGTGCGCGATTTGGCTCACGAAAAACTGTATCCCCTACTTAAGGATCCCATACCGGAAGTACGTGCAGCTGCTGTCTTTGCGCTGGGCACCTTCATTAGTTCAGTCACGGATCGAGAGGAGCACGCAAATAATATTGATCGCATAATCGCCATCACTCTCCTGGATACAGTGGGTGAAGATATGTCACCATTAGTGCGTTTAGAGTTGGCGGCAGCGCTACAATGGATGGTGCTGTTATTTGAGTCGCAGTTCGTCACCGTTTACATGCAAGAGCAAATGAGTAGTTCGAATCCCGCTTTGGCACTAACCACATCCGTGAGCGGTAGTGAGCGCAGCGCCAGCATAAGTCATGGCATGACAAGTACAAACAGCCCATCGATTGTACACCACTCGACGCACAGTTTGGAACGCCATGTGTCTATGCGCCGAGGCGCTAGCTCCAGTTCCATATCAAACATGGTCTCCAGTGCCATACCATTTCAATCGATATTTTTGCGTCTGTGGCAAGGTATTTACAATCTAGGTCATGATCCCTTTCCCGAGGTAGCGGAAACGGCGCAGAAAATCATTGCTTACGTTCGTGACAAGTCGGTTGATTTGATTACCGCCAAAGAAGCTACAAGTGACAAGTGCAATTCAAGTGTCAGTTTGCCACCGAGTCCGTCAACTCGTGGCAATTTTTTGAGTGGAGAGTCACCGCCAGTATGCGGCGGCGGTGTACAAGTGGGACACCCAAATATCAGTAACTGGGCAAACAAGTTCCGCAATTCAAAGTTGCTACCTGCCAATGTGATGAACAGTGGCGGACGCAAGATGCGGACGACCTCGATGGGCGATGAAACGGACAGTTGCGCTCAACTAAATGGTAGTCGCAGTACGGGCATGCTAGGCGTAGGCAATGCCGTCGGTGGAGTTGCCGGTTTAAGTATCAATGCAGTAAGCGGCAGTGGTAGCGGCGAGGGTTCACGTTCAGCACATAGCAGCACGAGCGAAAACAATTACGAGCCGAAATTTGTGCTGAAGCCAATTCTGCAAACTGAGTTCATATCATGGGCCAATTCGTACTTCATGCGACCTGGAAAGAATCGCTATGCCTCCGCCGAAGGTACAGAAGGACAGCAGGTGTTCCCTGCCGACACGAATTCGCCCGAGTTACGCTCTCGCCACTTTCGCTTTCATCGTAACGAGCTTATACGTCGGCAAGCGAAAGAGCAACACATACGCGGAAGCCGCATTGATACGCAAATATGCATGCTGAAGACCCAGCACACGCCTGCCATTGTTAAATTACTGCCATACGAGCCGCAACTAGCTGTAGCCTACAAAGAAAAGGTGCTTGTTTATGATTGGGCTAGAAATTCGGTGCGGTCCTATATACCACAGGCGGGCAGCAGTGCGGCGACGCGTAACCATGTGGGTGAATCCGGTGGAGCGTCCTCCTCGCCATCAGCACACTTGCAACATCATCAGCAACAATATTTACAACAACAACAGCAAAGCTTAACATCTCGCGTTAGTGCCATTGAATTCTTGAATGCCCAGGACATCAGTTTGATACTGGTCGGTCACGAGGACGGTGTGGTGCGAGTTTGGCAACCCGGCACAGACGATCATCCAGAGTCGCAGCTAATCACTGCCTTCGAGGGCATACCTGCAATGAACGCCGCCTACACTAGTTCCTATGGTAGTGGCGGCAGCGGCAGTGGCAGTGGGTCTGGTTCATCCTCCCTCAAGCATCGTCGTGATATGATGCGCACGGGCATAGTCACTGCTTGGCAGCAATGTCGACAGCACTTGGTGGTGGGTGGTGGAATATCGCGCTACCTACGTATTTGGGACGTTGAACGTGAGCTGAAGCACTGTGACATACCGATTGGCAGCGAGACGAGTGTACAAGTACTGGCACCATTCTCATACAATCTAAACAGCAGCATTGTGGTGGCGGGTTGTGCTGATGGGAGTGTGCGCCTGTTCGATAAACGTCAGTCGCCTCAAGAGTCGCGGATTTGCGTCTTTCGCGAGCACACCGGTGCCATATTATCTGCTTGCATGAAGGAGAATCAACCATTGTTAGTCACCGGCTGTTCACAAGGCCGAATGCGCGTCTTTGATTTGCGGCAAGCAGCTGCAGTGCAGAGCTGGGAGGCGAACGTTGATGTAGCCGTGATTGCTAGTCATCCGTCAGCAGATCTCTTGGCGTGCGGCAGTGCCCAAGGCATTGCGCTACATCAGGAGAACGGGCGAGCGCTTAACACATTGCGCGGCAATGAGGGCTTTATGGGCACGAAAATAGGCTATCCGACCTGTTTGTCGTTCCACTCGCACAAGGCTGCGCTGGCTGTGGGTTGTGTCGACAACACAGTCGTCGTTTACGAACCTGCTGCAGGTACATGAATAGGGCGAAATGATGATCTTGAGTTGTTTTGAACGGACTTGTGAAAATAAAAGTTTCATAATAAAATATTTTATTATGATTTTGTTGTAGTATGGAGACCTTTCTTAATCATTTGATTTTGTTGCTTTTTTTTTTTTTTTTTTTTTTTTTTTTTTTTTTTTTTTTTTTTTTTTTTTTTTTTTTTTTTTTTTTTTTTTTTTTGTTAGTTTTTACTTCAATCTCTTTGTTTCATTGCAGTTTTATAAACTTTGCAACAAATGGAAAATCGATGTTGATAAAAATCCAAAGACATTTGACAATTCAGAGCGTTTCCTGCACGAACCCGAAATAATTGATGCCGTTAACTACATTCGTCGTCGCACTCAAATTCAAAATATTACAGCCGAAGACGCGAAGCTCATTTATACGATATGCGGTTTTGAGACAGCTTGGTACCGAGGTCAAGAACCTTCTGTATGGTGCAGTCTATTTAATCGGGACACAATCAAAGCTTTCGAATTTTTCGAGGATCTAGAGTATTTTTGGAATGACGGCTATGGTTATGAAATTACCCATCGCATGGCCTGTGCAGCGATTAAAAATATGTTTGAACATATTGAGTGAGTACAATGGAAGTAATGTGGTGTGAGGCGAGGGAAAATATTCGAAATTAATAAAGAATGCATTATATCCTTATTTCGGATACATTCCCAAATCCGTACGAGTCTTCTTTTAGTTTTTTTTTTTAAACATTTTCTAACTAAATTTGCTGAAATTTCCTTTTGTAGTCACTGAAATAAACTTCTATACTCTCAATTTATAATTAAAAATTATTATTTTTTTGTTTTTCTTAGTCCAAATTCCAACAAATCGAATGCTACGTTTTACTTTACTCACTCTGGCACTTTGTTGAAGGTTTTAGCCCATCTTGGTCTTTATAAAGATGCAGAGCCTTTGACATATCGTGATTTTGGGCGTGAACGGGCCTGGCGTACTAGTCTGATCGACGCATTTGCCACGAATTTAGCTTTTGTGCTGTATGAGTAAGTCAATCGAAACACTAAAATTTAATATTTGTTTGACACCAATAATAATCCCTCCGCTTCTTAGGTGTAATAATGAAAATGGCCCCATGGTATTAACGTTGCATCAGGAACGTCCGATTCGCTTGCCCGGCTGTCCACAAGATCAAGATCTCTGCAGCTTGAAAACGCTAAAAGAACATTATGAACAACATGTGTCGAGCTGTGATTTTGATGAGCTTTGTCATATTCATCGGCATGACGAGAACTAAGCAGTTTTTTATGAATAATATAAAGAAACTCCAATGGCAGAGGTTATCTACGTATACTCCTTAATATACCAGTAATTAAATTAAGTTGTTGTCCTTGAATAATCGGCTACGAATTGTGAATTAACTGTAATTTGTGTTGTGTGCTTGGGAACTGTCAAATGTCTTGGATTAACAAATGTGCAAAAACACAAATGAATAAGGAACTAAAACAGCGACGCAACTAATTTAGCTTATACACATACACATAATAAATTGATAACGACGCTGAAATGCATATACACACAAATAAGTATACAAACATATTTACATAGTTATATAGGAATGGTTTATATAAAAAAAGAAAGAAACACATGTATAACGAAACAAAAAATAATATTAAGCTAACATATGCATACAATATGCATAAATATTTCGGCTCATATGTAAATATACGACGGCTAATGTACACTTACACACGTACATTTATGGAGTGCAATTAAGTTAAATAGTGAGTGTAGTGATTATCTTATGCAAGAAAAAACGACAACAGCAGCTTTATTGTAACTTTATGTTTAAGTTACCGCAAAGTGAAAAATTTGTTTAATTAATATTTGACAATTTGTAAATTAAAGTGCGTTATATATTCTTGAACACACAAAGCCACACCGAGTTTTTTTTTTTTATACATATCACAAAAATTTTGTCGCATAGTTTTTTTTTTTTTTTTGTTTTTGGAAAATTGTGGAAAATTATCAAAAGTAATAGCGGTTTAATATATTTCTTGCTAACTGTAATTCATGCTTCTCAAGATGAGTGCAAGCACCCTTTTAGTTGCAAGTGTGCGGTAGGTTAATAAAAAAGCAGCCAAATTTAAAATATAACCTTAAAATTGCTTACATTTGGAGTGTAAATTTTTATATAACTATTAGTCATAATTTGCGCAAATAGCATAAAGTATGGGACGTGAAATATAACTCTAAATTGAATATTTATGAACAATATTATATATAAATTGATAAAATGCCTATGGTCAACCAAAAGTAGAAAGGCGCATTTTCGTTTAAGAGCAATTTGAAATTTTAGGCGTGAAGTGCTCATTTATGCAACAATTGCCTAATTTAAAGAAGCAAAATGTAATCATAAATAATGACATAAAATTGCCGCCTATGCCAACATACTCACAACTTCACGCATAAAGAAACCATAAGGGCAACTAGTGAGCGAACGTTGTACAAAAGCTATTGAAAAAAAAATAATAATTACAAACTGACTTGAAATGAATGGCTGAGAAATCAAAAATTAAAAAATGCACACATTTAATGATTCACTTAACTCGCATTAAACGTTATTGAGTATTTGTTGCGGTCGAGTGAGATTGAAAATAGATTTTGTTGATATGATTTTTTTTTAATCGAAATTAATGTTATTTCTCAGTTAAACTGAAAGAAATCGAACAAAAGCATAACATACGCAAACCGTTACAATATATAGAATTAGTTTCCGCCGTCAGAGTTATACACATATTTTATAACCGTTAATAGACAATTATTGTTTGCAATTCCCTTGTAAATTTGCCTCCCATTAAACGCCCCTCCAAGCTTACCGCCTAAAGCGTAAATAAAGTGTTCAATAATAAACCTGTAATAATTTAAATTCCGTGTAAAGTGCGCCTTTTATTGATTTATAAATACATATACACACACATAAATATTAAGATAAATATTATTTACTTGTGGTAATTACCTGCAATGTATAAACTACTTAACTAACATTTTTGAAAAATAAATTAAGAAACAAATATGGAAGCGTTTGTTTGTATTTCTGGTTAATGAAAGATGAGAAATGCAGGAAATGCGGTTCGGAGGTAAGAGACTTAAGCACAACTCAAGGCCAAATGCCAAAAATCCTTTATCAAAAATTGGTGAAGTCTTCAGTCGAATGCTGAGCCACCTCTCATGATGTTTCTGTAGCGACATTAGACATTCCGCACATAACTGTATATACGCAGCCTTGTGGTAGGTTAGTCATTCAGCACTTTGGTCTGCCGCTGTTTTTCCACTCGACTAAGAGATCACAACATCTTTTATTATCAGCTTTCTCGATTAGTTCCGCTTTTTGCTTTCACAATAAAAAAAAAAACCGTTTATATTTTGTTATTGTATTGTTGCCACAGTACAAGTTTCCCACGTGTTGCACGCTCTTTCGTATCACTATTGCGCAGACGCTTACGAAGAGCAGAGGAAATGTCAACATTTTCACAATAATAATCCTGAGAACCCAACATTTTTTCGGTCTCAAATTGCTTAGTAGTTATTTAGTTGCTGCCACGAAATGTTGCGCTTCAGAAATAAGTGAATTTTTGGAATTAAATACTTAGTACTTATTGTGCATATGAAGACCCCCAAAGTGGCATTTAGTGGTGGTGAAATTGACGTCGATGAAAGTGTTTTGTTTGCCACATTTCGTTGTTTGCTTTTAGGCGTGTAAACTTTCTGCAAATACGAAATATGAAATATGCAAAAGCGAGCAAGCACTTCCGCAAATGATTGTATACAAAGTTTTTCCGTCAATATAGCAATTATTAGCACTCCTTAAAAGTGTATACTTACAAATACATACATACGTCTGTATGTAAGAACTTTTCTTTGTGTGCACAAAATAAAGGAAGAACGGCAACAATTATTAAACTTGAATTCGTTTGAATTCGCACATCTTCTACACTAACAAAATCACACACATATGTATATACATATGTACATGCAACATCACCTGACCTGTCGGGTGTGAATAAGGCTTCGAGGAAGTGGCAGTGGCAACTAGCAGAAACAAGTTGAATAGAATAATTGTAGTAAACTGAGTGACTAAGTATGCCTAAACTCGTGCAAACATATATACAGTTATGTTTATATAAGCGTAAGTCGCAAGTGTGCGTTCTTCCGCTTCCACTGAGCGTCAAGATGACACTGAAATGAAAAGGATCATGACCCACTTTTGATAAGCGCGAGGCGAAAAGGCAAACAAATTGACTGTTAAAGAGGCTAACAAAAACAAAAAAAAAAAAATACTCAAATGATATTTGGAAAGCTAAAGAATAAGAGTAGTGTATCAGAAAGCAGTGTTGTAAGTGCAACACACACACATACAATTGCAAAGTCCTCGTAAAGTGGCGTAACAATAGTGTAAAAATATAATTACAATGTAGGCCTCACTAACGGTAAATTAAATTTAACTTACACTTGTTAATCTCCCACCAAATGCCAAAAAGCAAAAACAAAAACAAACGAAATTACACAAGAAAATATTTTAGCAAATAATTATTTTATTTTATTGAAATTTTACGACAAAAATTACACAAAGTACAAAACACACGCAAAAAAACAAAAAAAAAAAAACCTACGCCGTCACAGTCACCCTTTGCTGGAGCCGTGAATCCTTTTTGATTGTGCAACGAAGCCACTGCAATGCATAGAGTAATTACAGTTTCGAATCCGTATTAGTGCAGCTAATTATACATAAGCCAACCGCAATTAAAAGTAACAACAATAACAACACAAAATGCTGTAGTGCAATTGCTCGCTTGTCACGCTAGCGGTTGGAAAGCCAGCCAATCAAATAAAATTTGTTGCTCCTTCGAATTGGTTCCGGTGCCGGTTTTAGCACGCAAGTTCGGCTTATTTAAACACACAAACATCCACTCATATATAAGTGCATATATTTATTTATACTATATAATATTTTGGTGGTAAACTCATACGCTTCCGACTATGCTGCCTTGGTGGTGTTACTTGCTGATTACTGGGCTGGTGCTCTATGCCCTCTTCGAACTTCATTACTTCCTGCGAATGTGCCTTTGTGTGATTCTGGCGCGCTTCGTCAAACGAAAGTGCCACATTTTGGAGACGACCACAGTTGGCGGTGAGTTTTGCTAAAATCAACTAATCTTTATGGTAAAAATGTCAAGTAAGGTAGATTTATGTTCGTGGTCAGCCGAAAATTTATTATAAAACGAGTTTGTGAAATCGTTCATTTACTTAATTTGCAAAGTATACACAGAATAGAAGAGCATTATACAAGTTAGTATAGTTATATATTGCGACTAGATGTTGACTAAGTTTGTATCCGAGTTGTTTACACCGGCAACCCTCTTAGCTGTATTCTTCACGCGGGGCTGACTGGACAATGGACATCGCTGCCGTAAGCGTTTCGGCAGCTGTGCTATAGTAGTGCTTAGAGCAAGTCTATCCATATATAACTTTGTATACGAAACTTTTGTTTACGAAACTGGGGGAGTAAGATGTATAGCTATCTCTACCATTGCTAGTGCGGTACCAGGTGTTTGTTACAAAACACTAGGGGTAGAGGTGCTTCAGAAATATAACTCAATATGGAGGGGAACAAGTTCAGCAAGTTCAAGTCAGCTTGGCTACTGCCATTGGAACCACAGGGAACCTACTTGCTTGTATAGTTATTGGCCACATCTTTGCTGTGAAGGAAGCAGTTCACGGCGGTTGAAATGCTTCCCTCAACCCCCCTTTGCAATGCAAAAGTGCCAAGGTCCATGAAGACTCGGATTGCGAAAGCGTTAGAAGCACTCTCCGGGGGATGCTGACGGTGCTGGTTTGGCATTAAAGACTAAACCCGGGTAAAAACCCAGTAAGGAGGAGTTGAACGCGAAAGCTTTATATAAGGCGGCGGTCAAAGTGACAGATTGAACTGCAGTGCCAACCGGCCGAAGGAAGAAGAAGCGAGGTAGGCTTATGCTGACGGCCGAACTTACTACGGATCATAGTTCTCGTACAAGGGTCCTCGTACTGCACGATAGTGAGTTTATTCTACCGTAGTGGTACTATTTCTTTCATTGGGGGTTGTTTTTTACGTGGCGAGTCCCAAACAAGGCGACTCCTTATCGTGCGACTTCTTCAATCTGCTGATGGAGAAAATAAATAGAGCTGCAGAACTTAATCGTGCATGTACAATCATCTATAAGAGTGTACAGCCTCAGAAGAAGCGGTGTCGCCAATAAAGAGAAGACGTCAGGTGAAGCCATTGAGTTGAAAAGTTGAAAATTAAATCTGTAAACAAATCTCTATGGGCATTGTGACGAATATTTGAAAACTGTACATTCTGGTATAGTAATTAGAAAACATTGGATCATCATATTTTGACCATCCATGTAACTGAAGTATAAATCAATCTGTTCGCATCATTGAGATCTAAATCTGCTGATTCTTTGGAGTACGAAAACTTTAGCTTTGAATATATGAGTATAAAATATGACATAAATATATTAATGCAAAGATAAAATAATTAAAAATTTGCAATAAATTTGACTTTTGACACCCTAGAACTTTTTATAAGATACTTTGCCTGTTGCCATTAATATTCTTGACTTATTTGAGCTTAAACAGCGAAACGAACATGTTTTCACAATACTTTTTTGTTCTTACAACTAGTGGAATTAGAATAGGAAAGAAGAAAATGAAAATGTTCTGATGAAAGGTTGCTAAATGCCGTTAAAGAATGTATACTAAACACTTTCGGTATTTCAGCTGCGGTTGCCACATGTGATTGACACGTGCACTTGCGCTTACGTAAGCGCCATTATGAGCATTATTTGCAAGCGTTGGCATTCTCAAAAGGGCCTATAGGGAAATTTTAATTTGCAAATAATACTTGTCTACAATATTGAAATGAAAAAAATGTTAAAGTTTTCACTATAATACTAGAAAATAACTGAGTACACAGATTAAATACTCTTCTAATGAATATCAATAATTATTTTATTTAGTAAATACTTCTCCAAACACTTTTCAGTGGGGTGTGAATGTCGCATTCGTTACTACCATGGCGCTATTTTCTGCTCGATTTCCATTTGTTTTTACTAAGCAATAACAAAAACACTCTATACTTCCGAGGTTTCACTTTTTATTTTCTTTGTTTGTGTAATAAACGAAAGTGTTCGTCATTTCTCCATCAAACCCATATCTACATTCGTCTATGTATGCTATATATATGTGTGTGTGTGTGCTTTGGAGTGAATATTTCTCAGCCACTTTGACGTTGACATTTATTATCCCAATCAGCTTTGGTGGCAAGCAGCGCACGGTGCGAGCCGTAACCCTGCGAATGAGGCATCCTATTACTCATTTAAGTGATTAGTTTAGCCAAGTTCAAGGTAATGCCGCTGACGGAATATAAATTTATGAATAAATGTTATTATTGACACCAACCGCGCTGCATTAGTATTCAAGTATAACATATTTGTGTGCATGAGTGTTGTTTTAATAATGAGTACTTACACTGCGTATACGTAACTATTCACTTCATGAGATGATGATTTCTTCGGGACTGCTATGCGTATACGTAATATTTGGGATTCACTTGACACATATACAAATATTTTTAATAGTGGCCAACTTATTATACCCTGTTCACGATGTTTGTTATATTAAATGGGAAGCGTCTGAGAAATGTCCTTTTCTCCTCAAAAAATTGTTTTGTGCTTATATGGAAAACTTTTTCATTTGGCAAGATATCTTTACGAAATTTGGTATTTATAGCTTTTTAAGACAACGCCACAGTATCTGAAAAAAAAAATTATATGATATAGTAGGTAAGCAAACTGAGCACTCAAAGGCATCATATTGTAGTGAAACTTCGTTATTTATGAAGGATATTCCAGCTTCGGTACTACCGAAGTTAACTTTTTTTATTTTTAATAAAATAGAAGACATACTCCGAAAAAAAATTTAAGAAAAAGAAACTTAACAACTAAATTTTTTAAGTTTATAATTATTTACGAAAAACCAAGGCATTAAAACAATGATCTACGCATTTCTTTTTACCATTCATTTGATAATATCTTATTCGCAGAAAATAATTTTTAATTTTTACGTAGGACTCTGCCTGACCAACGACATCGATTGGCTGCTCTATCATATGAACAATGCGCGCTATTTGCGTGAACTGGATTTTGCTCGCGTGGATTTCTACGAGCGCACAGATTTGTATCGCACCATAAAACGGAAGGGTGGCTCAGTTTTTCAGGGGGCAGCTACCATACGTTATCGGCGATTTATCAGACCCTATCACCGTTTTCATATACAGTCGCGTGTAAGTGCGACCTAAGAGAAAAAAATAATATGCAAACATTTATATTTACCCCTTCCTCCTTCTTTGCAGATCATCTATTGGGACGATCAATCCGTTTACATGGAGCATCGTTTCGTGCGGCCCTCCGATCAATTCGTGCACGCCATTGCAATTTGTCGGCAACGCATCGTCGATTGCTCAGCGGAGGAGGTGATGAATGATCTGTTGGCACCCAAAAGTATGCAATTGCAAGCGTCGCACAACACGGTGAGCTCCACAGTGAGCCTGGACAATAGTGCGGTGACCACAACAAATCTGGATGTGGCCGAGAATGGGCAGACGCGCGTCAAGTTGAAACCCGATGTGCCGCCGGAGATACAGAAGTGGATTGAATACAATGATTTGTCAAGCAAAAATCTACGCTCGAATTGCTGATAGTTGCGGTTGATCGAAATGCCGAGCATGCTTATGATTATGAATGTCTAAATACTCGAGTAAAACTCTATACATACATACATACATACATATGAAACTGCACTTATTAAATAGCAAGGATATGCCTAGATGAAAGAATTATTTATTTTTTGAGCTCATTTTAATATGAAAAGTCTTGAAGATAAATATTTAATTAAGTTTTTGTTAATTAATTTTTTTATAGTCGAATTATATATGAAGCGCTAAAGCGTAGCAGCTGTGTATGCCAATCTCTAATATAATCTACCTTTACTACTTGTACGTGTAAATGTATGCAAAGGAAAACAAGTAAATTTGTAGAGCATAATGCAGAGCGTTTTACTTTGGAAGATAAAAGGTATGGGTTACTTACTAATGTTGCAAATGCGTATGTGAGTTTGTTTGCTACACTTTCATGTTTCAACGCTTTAACCGTTCTTCTTGAAACTTTCATCTACTCGTGATAGTATTGAAAAGAACATAGGATACTTAGTATTACAAAATATAATTTTTAGGTAAAAATTAAAAAAAATATATATTTTTACAAACACTTATGTTACAATGCTCGTTAAAAATTTTAAAAATTTAACAAAAAAAAAATTTAATTGAAATCATTTATCACACAATATTTGGGTTTCACCGCCACAACGAAGATGATCATTGCGATATAATATTAATATTCGTGTATATTTAGTTATTTAATATTGTTAACGATCTTTGATATTTATTTAAGGGATTCAATTCATAAGCAAATCTGCTGGCTTATGTCAATGGTATTGATATCATTGGCCTCAACATCCGCGCCGTTAGTTCTGCTGGAAAAGGTTGCGAAGAAAATGGGTCTGATAGAACGATGAGCTGTACGCGATGTTGTAAACTCGGCTATAACCGCGTAAGCCATGTTTACATCATTTAAAAAGAAGAAAGTTTAAGAAAACTCGATAAAGCTAAAGATTCAGTTTAGTGCCGTTACACATTCCGTTAACTTCGCAAAGGCTATACCTTTGAGTGATATTTGGACGAATATCTTTGGCAATCTTTAATTTTAGCGCATGAAAATTTAGTGTTATCGGTTTGAAAGTAGGCAAAAAATAGGCATCTTAAAACAGAACACGTGGTTGGACAAATCTTTATCTATATACTATACTCACTTCATGGCTCATACCATATGTAACTGATTAAATATTATTAAATATTGATTGAGCGCTTGCTTTCCTACAATTCTTTATTGAAAAAGTTGGCCAGTCCTTTGGAGGTAGCACAATACTGTTTTCCAATTTATAAAATAATGGCAGAAAAAATAGTTGTAAGAGCCATATAGCCGTTATATTATTAACCAAACGGTGTAGAGAACTCACTCACTCACTACATTTATTCAGTTATATTTTAAGTATTTGCAACACTGACAGTAGGGTAGTCATCAATGCAGAGAATGATAAATAATGCTCTTTCTCGCCATTCATACTCAACAAAAAGTTAAAAGGGCTGATGAAGAAACCGGTTGCATCAAAAATGCGTCAACAAAATAGTCTTTATTCGCTCGTATTGTATGAGAGAAAATGAGTAAACCACATACATACATACATATGGCAGTCGACGGTTGGGCACACGGCTGATGAGCACACTCACTACACGCTCTCTGGACTTTTACTTTTCTTTTCGACTTGCTTGGTACTATATAGTGCTGTTGTTATAGACTTTCAGCGCTTCACTTAGTTTTGGTGTGTTGTGGAAATCGGACGTGTGAAGAAGAAAACAACGAAACATAAAAATCAGGTAATTCACAATTCATGAGTTTAGAGACAGGCGAGTATAAGTTGAACTTGAAGTGTGTTGTAATACATTCATTCGCACTTTTTGAATTGAATTCGTATAAATTTCGAATATTAATATAAATTTGGGGCAAATGTCAAATCGATTAATTAAGTATTGCAGCAATCGACATGTTTATGCAAACAGCTGAGTGGGGAGTTCAGACAGGTGATTACAACAAAGAGCAAGCATGTAGAGTGTAAAGTACGGCAGAATATAGCCAATATTTTTCGCTGATTTTATTAAAAAATAACCACATATTTCAAATTTTCAAGTTACCATGTGAAAAGTCAGCAATTTTTCTGAGTTTCATAAGAGTTGTGGCCACCGTTTAAGGTGCATTATTTACGGTTATCTGTTGTTTTGTGTTGCGACATACTCCATCTGTTGTGTGCACACATAACACATATACGTTTGTAGTTGTGTGTTTTCGCTTGCTCATAATTATTGTATGTATATATTTTATCTCTCTTCAGCGCGATGTCTTTCCTAGTTACACTGCTCGTTCTCTACATCATTTGGGATGTTAACTACTTCATTCGTTGCATATTCACTGTGCTGGCCGGGCGCCTGTTCCAGAGTAAACGCAAGGTCACTGATACCACAACCATCTATGGTAAGTTCATGCTCACAAATTCATAAATATTTACATATCAAATTTAATATTTCTTAAACTTGCAAAAATAGGTCTCTGCACCTCACAGGATGTGGACATCTTCATACGGCACATGAACAACGCGCGCTACCTGCGCGAGCTGGACTTTGCACGCTTCCACTTCTATGCGCTGACTGGGCTCTATGAGCAAGTGTGCGAGCGCAAAGGTGGCGCCGTTCAGGGCGCTTCGAGTGTGCGCTATCGCCGCACCATACCCATTTTCCATCCGTACAAGATACAAACCAAGCTGATTTGGTGGGATGAGAAGGCTATTTACTTGGAGCAATCATTTGTTACGCTCTCGGATGGTTTTGTGCGCGCTGTGGCGTTATCCAAGCAGTGCATCACCAATTGTGACGTCACTGAAATAATGAAGACCTTCCCTGAAGCGGCAACACGTCCGGAAATGCCGGCGGAGCTGAAACTGTGGTTGGACTCGATTGAACTGTCTAGTCAGAAGCTGCGCAAGGATAAATGAGCGTGAGGCGGAGAGAGTGCTCTCTTTCTTAGTGTTGTAAACTCACTTTTTGGATGTTTAGGCTTATTTTTATACCTTTTTTAACGCTCCATTGCTTACAATGTGGACAGTGATATCGAAATAAAGTTTTTAGTTATTAAAACAATTTCCTTTATATTTTTAATGGGATGCAAAGTTCAGAGTCGGAGCTTATAAAGCTTTTAAATACCAAAATTTGTTAATTACGGCTGAATTAACAAACACCTTTGACTTCGAGCAATTATGAGGAAATGTGCATGCGTTTTTACAGGTATTTACCATATATTATGTATGCGCATGCAGTGTTTGTACAAATTTGTATTATTCGAAATGAGAGATGAATATTCAAAAGGGCATAGCAAATACAAGCAGGCGCGACGATTCCGCAGATCAGGAACTATTTGAAAATGGAAAGTACTTTATAATGTATACTTACATTACATTACATTGTATTGTTAAATATGACGTTGGTTCAAAACTTGCTCCTATCTCTAGTGTTGCCTATTTCTTCTTGATATCTAAATCTTCCGCTCCTAACTGTCGATTCATAGTTTTGTTGCAGTATCTAAACAGGTTATTTTTGCCGTGGAGCATTTCAGTTGACTTTAGTAAACCCTGTTAATTTTATATTCTAATAGCATTCAGGATTTCCTGTGACGCATCTTAAACCCCTAAATCCATGAGTATTTAAGACACTTTCAAATACACGTTTGTCCATTTCTTAGCCAAACATATCTGAAGGCGTTGAATAATACAAAACTTGACTCATTTGTAAATATTATGCTGTTCCAATCATGGTTGATGTTTTTCTGATCCCGTTTCCAACTTATTTCAATGTGCGTTTTTAAAAGTAGGCTTGATTACGGTCTTGTAGTGATTTTGATGTTAGTCTCTGAAGTCAGTATTGTAGTTAGAAAAATATTGAACTCCTTTTTAAACAAAAATGTTTGGTTTTTATTGGACTAAGCAATGGTTTCCTTTCAAAAAGGAGACCAATAGCTTTGTTCACTTTTTTAAGTTCCTTAATTTTTCTAATTTATTGGCTTGGCATCTATGTTTCCAGCTTCACCATAATAATCAGACCATCTTTTCTCAAATGTAGAACTCGTTTTTAAATACTTTGCGGCTTCTAGTAGCCTAATTTGGACTTTTAGGATGCTTACTTAGTAAGGCTTTCTTAATACCACGACACCGAATTGTACGCATCAGTGATCGGAATTGAACAAGTGTTTATTTCCAACAACAGTTGTAAATATCTTTCTGCGAATAAGTATTTTTTATAAGCAATTTAAGACTGAAATTTTGCTCAAAAATCGATTTTTTTGAGAAACCGCCATTTTGTCAAAAAATTTTACTTTAGTTTTAATCCTAAATTTTACGAACTTAATCTTATTCCTTCAATTGTTACTATATTTAACATTACTTTAACGAAGTCTGCTTTGTTTTTTTCTTATTAGAGAATCCAGTTCAGAGATATAGTGATCACCGAAAAATGTCGGCGCTTCCGGAGATCAGCTGTAAAGCCTTTCCAAATAAACATTTTTACTAAAATTAAGTCTTGAAATACAGTTAAAAGACACGATAATATGTGTACACATTTTGGGATCAATAAATTTAAAAGTTTACTCAGAAAAATTTCTGGAATTTTCGCTCTTTTTCGGCCTTCGAACTGTATATAACCTCTTAAGGAGTTATCTCCACTACTGAATTTATAAGAATGGTAAATAGTTTCGGAGATATGAAGGTATTCATAAGAATTGTTAAATTAAGTGTAATCGGTAACCAAAATCTTAAACGAGTTTTCTGGAAACACTGTTTTCTCTCTCTACCCATTGCCTCGAAATTTTTAACCGACCCTTTCAAATATATTTGCCAAGTAGTGGCCGAAAGAATAAGCTTTTAGATAATAATTTCCATTTTTTAAGTCATTCTAAAGTGTAAAATTTTCCACTAAAATCAAAAGTTGTAAATTTTTTATAATAATAAAATTTTTTTATCTATTTCTTCGATCATTACTTGTATTTATTATAAGCACAAATTTTTTTTTTTCTGTAGAAAATCGGACAACTTTTTCGATCTCCAAGAGCGACTACTGGAAATAAAATTGTTTTTAAAATTAATTGTCGGTTATTAAAGTATATTGAATCCCATAAGTGTATGTCGTTTTTTCTGATGTATAAAATGAAATTCCCCCTCAAAAATATTCACAAAACTGCGTTTAACGAAAACTATAGTTATTGCTTTATAGGTATTAACATCTGTGATATAATAACTGGATTTTCGTTCGCTTCTGTTATCCGAGCCACCCTTG